GACGTTTGGCCAACGCTGCATCAGAATTTTGCCCGTTGAAGATGACATGTTTTCCGACACGACATGTGAAAATCATAAGGCCAGTATATGTATAGAGAGAGCTGTATGTGTACGCAGATATGACCTTAAAGTCAAAGAGACGTTCTGCCAAAGTGCAAAGCACAATACAGGTTTTGTATACTAGGCACAGTACATTCTACTGAATGAGATGTGCTATTCAACACAGTTGTACAAAGTAGGATTGTGCAAACTGATGTGACCAACGTTTCAGTCCATCTTCTCTTGTCCTTTGAAATTATAAGCAAAGCGCAGGCTTCTCAATATCAATGCAAAACCGCTGAGTCAATCTACAATGAATAACACATGTAAATCAGTCTTGTTAGATAAAAGGTAAATGATGCTTCAAAGTTTAACCCTGAATAGCTATTCCAGCAATTTGTTAGGGCTTTTCTCATGGCAAATTAAACGAACAAATTATCGGATTCCCTGAATTCACAAGTCTTACGAGTTGCCGGGTACCATCCAAACAGCTATTAAGACTTTTTCTTTATCTATATTCTATCAATTTCGTTATTTCGATTATCATAATGTTTGTAATTGTTATTTATGTGTTGTGTAGACTGCTATGGTACAGTCACTGTAATGTAGCAAAATTTATTTTGCATATTAAGAAACCAGGGTTCTCAGCAGAATTTTTTCACAGTGAAGGGGTCAGCTACTACATTGTAGCAGTATAGAAATTAAGGTAATTTTTTTAAAGACATTACGGTAACAGTATTCTCCCCCCAAAAAATTACCCTCTCTGACACTATTTCTAGCTTATTGAGGGACAAATTCCTTGATTATAGCTACATTTAAGTCAAAATTTCAATTTTTAAGAGATTTATGCACAAGGTTGAGAGACAGTGTAGGGAGCTAAATTACAGTATGATTGTATAGGGGGTCCAAATCACAGTGTAGGGGGCCCCTAGACTCAAACAGCCCAGTGAGAACCCTGTTGCACAAGAATACTTTTCATAGTCACCATGGAGTGCGCCAAAGGATTGGATGGTACAATCACACCGGCTTTGGAAAAATTACTCAAACCTAGCTTCCCAGGAGGGTTTCCAAATTGAGGGAAAATTGTACTTAGTGGATCGATACAATCAGCAGGGTCAACGTGCTTTATGGGTTGGGGTACGCAAATTGTTCTCCCTCGTGTAGGTTAGACATCCAGGAAGTAAGGTATGCAAAAGAAAATTAAAACATTGTTACTCAAGCAACAGTGGATATGATTTGCGAAATGGTCACAACGTAGCATCCACTACCTTGAAAAAGTTTGTTGTGACACTGAAGTAGTCTCAAATTCAGCTGGTTTATAATTATAAGCATGAACTGTTGACTGATATGCATATGAGTGAAGACGAATTGTGGATAGTCCTTAATAGGAGACAAAAGTTTGACAAAGTCAAGACAAGGTTGATGCAAATTAGTCAAACGGCTCCTGTTGTTTCAGAACAATGTACCACAAATCGCCCACAGATATACAAGGCATTGTGTTACACGTCTTAGACTAACTTGCGACTTAAAGATGTATTAATTTATGTAACATTTTCACCAAAAATTGATCTACTCTCATCTGCTGAATAAACGTACCGGTACGTTTTTTTTTTTTTGGTCCGAACATCCACCCGGTACGTTCTTATTTTGCACGGTACGTTTATTAATTTTTTGAAAATTGGTAAATTTTTTTGTCATGATAATAGTTTTTTTGGTGAAAAACAATGACAGAGGTTACAATTTTTTTGGTCCAATCCTCCATTTATACAGTTCAAAAATTACATAAATTCCTTATACATGTACATTGTATATAGCTTTTTGTGGTCTGTGTCACTATTGTAACTTCATTTATTATTATTAATATAACAATCATACACTGTATATAATGATACATTTGTAATCCTTTTTCACAACAACAACAACAACAACATAACACAACACAACTATGATTATTTCATTTTGTTGTATACTGTAATTAGTCTACATTCTTAGCCCGAAATGTGTTTTTGTATATTCATAAATTTATTCAATAACAGCCTGTAGTGCCAGATACTAGAGGCTGCTATTGGGAGAACAAAAAATGGTGTTTTGAATCCTAGTGTTAGAATAAAATCAAAGGCAAAGTTATACTTGCAATTGGCTGTGCCAGGTTTGAATGTTTGACTGACCAGGTTACACTGCAGTAGATTTTGTTAAGGACATCATGGAGTTTAAGGTCACGCGTAACCGTAACCTCCATCTAGAATGCGAAGGTACAGTACAGCTCGCGTTATAGTTTCCAACTCTGACAACCGCGAACGCGGCATTGACGCGATAAGACCGCGTTCCGCATACGTTAATGAAGGTGTGAAACGCGTTAGGGTTTCAACTATAACGCGTTCACCAAGCGTCAGGGTTTCAAATATAACGGCTAGGGAAGGCTGCGCGTACTATGTGAGTTGGGGGAGGGGGGCGTGGTGGTATCGCTTTACCGATGTTTTCGTCGGATGAAAACCTATAAAACGTTAACATTTTGGGCTAGCGTCTGTTTAGGTGGAAATTAGGGAGAATTTTGGCGGCTTCTTGAAGAGTTTTGTGTGTCAAGACTCCACGTCCGCTGCATAACGCTGCGGGCCGTGCCACAATGTGCGTCGGGCTGGCGGCTAGTCGGCACTTTGTGAGATACATTCTCTTACGCCTGTTGACTTTTGAAACGTTATAAACGCACTAAATTTTGTGTTCAAAATTGCACATGTAGTTGTAGTTGTAGGCTATCTCTGCAACGACATGAGAGAGGTGCCAACAATGCTACATGACGCCGTTCTAGGTGCCAAGTCGCTATTGTCTTACAAAACCGTAAAACAAAACATGAAACCTGACCCCATCTCATTAACTTTGTCTGGCGATCGGAAACGCGTTATGGTTACGCGATGCGCCAACTCTACCGCGTTATGCCGCGTTCGGGTTAGCGTTTATGCATATTTGCCGAACGCGTTCGGAACGCGCGGGGAACGCGGCATTGACGCGACAGGATGGAAACATTGACGCGAGCTGTACTGTAATTGGTCTTTCTGCAAACGCGAGACATCTCCTCAAGTCAGCGTTCGATATTTTCCAAGAAGTCTCTCCGCAAGGAGTCTCAAAACAGAAATTCATTTTTGGGAATGGGTGCACAAAATTTTGGGGTGCACCATATAAAACAAAACAGGAGCTAACTTCAAAATCTTAAACAAGTACTACAACAAACATGTTATTGTTTTTCTGACACTTAGATGCCAAGCATATCCTGCATACTATTATACAATTGATATGTACAAAATATCTACAAAAATATTTGGGTACACCAGTGCATGCACCCACAGAAAAAAATTGGGTGCACAGCTTCAATTTTGGGTGCACTAAGGTGCACATGCACCCAGTATTTCCATCCCTGCAAAACGTTCACGTTTACCTCATTACCACACACTGGATCGGATGTTTCAAGTTAGGTTCAATGTAATTGGTCTTCCTGTTTGACGTGTGTGAGACTTTAGTGTTCAATATTTTCCAAGAAATCTCTCTCCAAGGTGTCACAAAATTTCCCATAATAACATTAAGACTGATATTCATATCCTTCTCCCTAACTCAAGCTGCAATGTTATGATTGATGAACCAATTCGTAGCCAAAACGGCTACTTCAGCGTGATAAGCTTATACAATTATATGATAACTGTATTTGCGATAACAAAACGATCATTATAAGATTCATTCATATAGCTATTGTACAAGATTATACTATCATTCTACATGTACATAGCTGTAAGTTGCTTTGGAGAGTTAAATCCCCCATCACTGCCTGTTATACTGTATGTTACAAAATGTATGTGTCATTTTTATGTCTTTGTCTGAGGCAAAGGCATAAATATCGGTATCTTAAAGACATATTCAACGTATTAGCAGGAACTGATAGGGGGAATTATTTGTGTACATTGCATGGTATTTTTGTACACATTTATTTTCAGAGAGTCATGAAATTGTGTTAGACAAATTTTGTGTCCGTCACGAGTAGCAAAATTATGTCAAATGACGGAAAGAACACTGTTAATTGTTACATCTTACTTGATGTATGAAATTCGGTTTAAAGTGTCTGTGTGTGACTTCGAGTCCAGATTTCTGGCACGAATGATATTTACAACATAAAAGCATGTTACTCAAGGTTGGACCAATTACACTGTAAGGGGATGTGCCAAAGGCAAGCCTTTAGGGTAAAAAAAAGCTTTGAAGATCTCAGCAGAAAGGCCTCCTACTGTACATGTACGTGCTTGTTAAAGTAATGGGTTTGCATTGCAGGTGGTGGGAATTGGTTCACTTCTGATCTTTTCAAGGAAGTCTAATATTATGCACATGCACAATGTGACTGAGTGGTGCTAGCTTACGTACAGGGCTCAAATTAAAATACCAACTGCATATATACACTGTGTATTATACATTGTACATTTGTATGCAGGTTAGGCCACACTGATTTAATGTAAATTGTGGATGACATCCACGTGCACATTAATTTTTACCTGTTCTCAAAAAAAATTGCAAATTGTTTTATGTGGCAAAAAAAATTGATTAATTAAGTGAGTCCATAACACTATCTTATCAAACACAGTAAAACTCCCATTGGGTACCCTAAAGTTCAGTATGCTTCATTCTAATCCCGAGTATGCACTTTTATTTCAAAAGGATTGTTCCTTTGGGATCCATGAATCAAAATTTTTAACTTCAAGTTCAATTTTAGGGCATCAATACAATTTCACCAATAATACATGACAGGAACATCAACAATATAATGGAAATGAACTGATATGTGAATAGGGGTTGTGCCAAATAGTGCATTTAATGTAACAATTTTGATAAATACCAATTTGACAAATATTTAACTACATGTATTATAATATTTCAATGGATGGATGGATTCCACCATGAGTTACAAGTAAAATACAAAGTGTACTTACCCCATCTTGTATTCTGCTGATTAAAAAAAATCACCAGTAGAAGTTAAACCTTCACTTCAGCATTGGTTTGTATCTCTTCATTTCAGTAAGCATACATCTGAAAAAAAGACAATTCATTAAAAAAGACATTCAACTTTATTGCACGACTTGTTTCAGTGCAATACAATTATCATACCATGTTCTTTTTCCATGTCCAGTTTGACAAGCAATGAATTAAGGCCACACTATCTTAATTTGTTGGTTCTTGGATTCTAAAAAAATAATATTGTACACTGTCTGAGGACCAAGTTCATACCTTGTGTTGGTCTGCTGACTTTTATGGTTAATTAAAAGTCAGTTATTCACATTTTCCTCCCTGCCCTCTGCTTTTATATGAATATGTGTCTGCCTGCTATATTTTCACCTGAAAATGTCCAAAAATCGTGGAAAAAAATTAATATTGGTGTGGCCTGAGAGCAAGCTTTGAATAAAAAAAATTCAAATCCAAACCAGTAGTTGTAAAGTAACATGCCCGGGAATAGCAACAATAATGTGGACTAAAAATTGTACATTTTGTACTTCAGGCTTCAAAGAGACACTTCATCACAGGAAATCCACATGTTTATCCAGGGTGTTAACAGAGAAAGCGTACTTAAACTGTTCAAACATGCCGTCAGCATGACCTACACTGCGAGTAAAGACTCCACACAGGATGTGGCAAAGCCTGCATATTATATATATGTATAAGTAGCATGTTTGCAGAACGTACTGTGCCTGTGCGGAGCCCGGATTTTTCACATTTTTTCGTAGGATGCATATTTTTGGTCAACGTTGCATCAGAATTTTGCCCGTTGCAGACAACATCTTTCCCGACACAACTTTTTTGGAAACTGCATGTATAGACTGGATGTCATCCAAAAATACACTTGAAATTGCTACTTCATGTACCTTATAAGAGACGTTCTGCTGAAATGCTTTGCACAAAGTACATTCTGCAAACAGACATGTTACCGTACATTTCAGTTACATGAGAAATATATATATAGCCAAAGTATAAAACATTATTCATTATTTTGCCCAGCTATGATTAACTAAAGAAAGTTCCAAGCAATTCTACTAATGTCCACATATACACCTGCATGAATAATTTCACGTACACAATACGTAATATCATACAGTAGACATCAGAAAAAGTCATGTACATTGTACCTGTACAGCTCCAATTTTAGAGTTACACTACAGTACCCATTAAAATGTGTCTAAAGAGAACTCCAATGCATAAACAGCCAGTAAAATAATATTACTGAGTATTGCACTTACTCCTGGAGTATATCTAAACCGTGCATACCTGGGGGTGCTGCATTCAAAGAGATGTCTATCAAACACGGTCTGTTTTCAAAGTCTTGGTTTACGTAAGCCGGCAGATAAATGCAACAGGAGGTTACATAAAATTAATGATTGGCAATATGGCTACTCTTCCTAAGCCTGTCAGACAATTACTTAGGTGTAAGAGATTTGATTATTCTTTTGATGTCGATGTACATAATGTATAGTATTACACGTACAAAGAAAACTACTAAGTACCTAATACCAGCTCAGAAAAGAACAAGAAACAGTCAGGCCTTTAGATATCAGAGTTATCAACTAGGAATTGAGGTTTCAAAAACTTGTATTTTCCAGAACTGTCATAGAGTGGAATTCCTAATAGATGCTACCAATGCAAGTACAGTTGGGGCATCATCACTAGAAAGCTTTGAACAACTTCTGCAAAGATTAGGTGTAACATGTCGTTCGGTATACTAATAATATGACATGTTTGTCATGTAGCTAGCTGCTACCACACCACGTGACTGCAAAGCTGGCCGGTGTGTTACGCTGAAGGGCAGTTATACCGGCTATACCGATACAAAATGAGATACAAATACTGAAAACTGAGTAATATGTTATGAAATTTGGTTCGAAGACGTTTGGCAAAATTATATTTTTCTGCCTTCAACTTTTTCAACAAGATTTCTCTCTCTCTCATATATACTTCATATACATCTCCTATATTGTACAATTTAATCAGTATATAATAAAATTACTTTCAACTGAAATAACAGAATCACTTGACAATTTGCTTTTCCAATTGATGTCAATTTGGATACCAGGTGCGTCAAAATTGTAATTTAGGTCAATATTGTTAACGTTACACAGAAATAGAATTAGAAAGACCCGGTAGTGAGGGTTGAAAATACTAGTATTTTGGTGCAGGTAAAATTAAGCTGTGCAGGTACATGTATTTCTGATGTCTAGCCGCATCTAACCTGTATGTCACTGGCCCTTTCATGTATCTGTTTACATGTACATGTATATAATACACTTACAATGCATCTTATATAATGTGTACATGTATATGCCTGTGGATTTATATTTTCTGCAGTGACAGTATCTAATATGGGAATACTTGTGTAAGAACGTAAAATTGCAGGTAAAATTTGTCTGATGCAGGTAAATTTCAATGTTCATAGATACATTACTGCAGTGCTAGGTCTGGTCAATGTCAGTCAACTTTATCCAATGGCATATACATGTGTATCATAAATAATGTAAACCCTTGTACAGTATTATTAGTTGGACCATGATGGTCCACCTGTAAGCCTTTGTATCCCCAACAGCAGGGCAATAAACCACCTGTAATCTCCTTTTTGCAGGTGTACGTTCACAGGCAATTTCTGTCCACACCCATGCAAGAAGCTTCATTCATGAATTTGAATCGCAAGGACAAGGTTTTGGTGGGATGGCAATTGGCGATCTCCTAAGCCACACCAATTAAATCAGTTGGTTCTTGGTTTGTGAGCTTTATTATGTTTACCGAAGAAAAAATATTGTTTTTGCTACGTTTCTTCTTCTTCTCCAAACAGTGACCTCTGACCTGACTGAACCAGACTGTCTCTCACCATGGTAACTGGTGTTGGGTTACATAATGTTGCAAGTTTGAAGAAGGGATTTAGACTTTAGAGACTCCTGTCACCTATGTGTTTGAGTAAGAATTAACAGAGCAGTCAGACCATATTTGGGACTACCACAGGATGCCTATTCATGTTTTTTACCTGCTGTCGTCAATTTTACCTGCATTAACCTGCTGCATATGCAGGTGGTATTTCCAGCCCTGCTACATGTATCTGTAGTTCATCTACATGTACACTGGGAAGGCCATCCTGCTAAACACCAAAGAATGTGGGCTAACTAGGCCTGGTGCTGACAGATGGCTCAATTCTTCTGTCAAACAAACACATGTATGGAGATAAGAGCCAAGCCTCTCTCATGTAAACTCGTGCCATTTCTCATCCCCAATACTGTATACAGGTCAGGAAATTGGGCAGTCTGCACATACTTCATATCCACATCCGAAACCAGACTCTCAACGGGGCAAATACATGGCAGGATGCATATATGGCACAGAAAACATGATTGATGTCACACATATAGGACTAGTACATGTAGGCCTTTTACCATTAGACGTAGCACTTCCCTACAGTATTTAAAGGCATTAAAGAGCATTAAAAGGCATTTAAAGACCACACCAATTTAATTTCTTGCAATTGGTTGACGGATTTTTCTAGAAAAATAATGGAGTGGGCGGGCGAAAAAGAATAAAAACAGGCCTAGGCAATTATTATGGCCCATAAATACATAGGAGCCATGAAGTCAACACACCAGGCTGGTTCAAAATTTGAACAATGAATTTTGAACTTTTAATGATACCACTGCATTGGAAGATAGAATTACCTGACAACTAGGATGAAAAGGACTGTTTTCAACTGTTCAGGGCAAAATATGAGCATTTTGCAGTTGATTCTGAATTTTTTTTTTGTGCAAATCGGAAAAAAATGAAGCGGGCGAATCCGTAAACCAAGAAATTAAATTGGTGTGGCTTAATGTAGATGTATAATAAATATTCAGGGTGACAATACAAAAAAAATGTTTTGTATTCAAGGAAATCTTTTTACTGCCATATCTCACTCAGTACATTTTTGTCATCATTTCATAGTCCTGTAGCCTTCGAAATAGTCCCAAAACAAAGTATGTTACGAGCCCCTTTATTTTGGGGTACCACCAATAAATAGCTAGAGCCAGCCTGCATTACATACAAGCAACAGTTTTCCATCAGCTTCATGTACATTGTATTTTTGCCTCATAGAAACCAGTATGCTATGGGATAGGGGTGATTCAACTCACTATATATTATTTTTAAAAAATGACCATAAAATTGACTTTGAAAATCCAGTTTTACTGCTGGTATCTTTGAAATCACTTGGGTGCCATCAATTGTAGCCGGTACACTCGATTCTAATTATTCAGAAAGCCTCTAAATTTTGTCCATGGAAATCCTTGGCAATGATAAAAGATTGACAAATTCTGTCACAACCTAACAGCTAAGTGATGGGATATTATGCATGTAGTCAAAGCAAGCTTTGTTTAGAATGTAATAGAGTACTAGGTCAAGCATGAAGCTGTAGCTCCTTTGTCTGTATGGCACATTCTTATGCAACACCCTGGCAGGAAGTCATTGAATAGGTGTTGACGGTGGCGAAAACTTGGTATTTTCACAGACAGAAACGGACGCTTTTCACTGGTCACAACTGGCTTTCTCCCAAAGAAGCAGTTCAATCAGTCAATCAATTTATCAATCAACCAACACTCAATCGACCAATCAATCAATCAATCAATTTTGTTGACAAGTAAAAAGATTCATCGCCACAAGACTTTGTAGGAAAAGAAGGTCACAATAAATATTATATAGCCTTCTTTTACTCTCCAAGCAGAGGTTGATGGTGGAAGATTGTTTGCTTTTTATAATTATATATGCCCTTTTTTTTGTTGCTACCACATGGTTACAGACTGGCCAATTTGATACTGTCTTACCCCCACCAAAAGATCTGCTTGGAGATTAGCCTTTTTCAGGCTTATGATAGAAGCACTAGTGGGTGAAGGTTGTTAATCCACGTTATGTCCTACCTGGGCCGCGATTACGTTCGATACGGGTGTTCCGGCCCGTGTGATAACTAGCGGTACGGCCAGGGTGTTCTTAACGCGTACAGCCCGGGCCTTCCAAATGTTCCATAGAACGATTCGAA